AGAGAGAGAGAGAGAGAGAGAGAGAGAGAGAGAGAGAGGAGTGGCGAGAGAATAAAAAATCAATAGCCAGCCAGACTATCTGATAAAACATTCAGCCAACCAGCCAGCCAAACTTAGAACCTTCATCCAGACCATGTCCCCCAACGCCGTTCCACCAACAACACAGTGGACCACCGAATCTGGCCGAGGGAGGACATGGTTACTGAACAAGATCTGGGACATAAAAAGCGACCTTGAGGAGACAGCACCTCTTGTCAAAATGTCGCGTTTGAGACCCCCCCCCCCCTTCCCCCCAGGAATAATTCGTTTCATTTGACAAACAAACAAAAAACTGTCACTTTGTTCTAGTCCAGTGACAACGACACGTCTGTCATACAGACTAAACAAATAAAACTACAGCGTCCATTCACGAGAGGAAGCTTTGAGTGTGCCGCAACAATGCCAATCACAAGCTTTGGTTCCCTGTGACATGTGCACGACATTTCCGCCCGGACGTTGTTCGATCAGAACAATAAAAGATGAAATATATGTCGTCTGTTACACAGGGTTTTTTGCTAATAGAGAAGCACATGGGGGAAAATCGTTTAGCGCACAAAACAGTTATTATTTGCACGATATAAGGGTCATTTAGTGTAAGGAAAGGTTTTAGACAGACAAGCCAAGACAGCAAGAAAAAGAAAACAAGAAGGGCATACCAGTCCCCATCCTCCAACCACCCGCTGTAGTGATACTTTAACTGTCACAAATTAAAACTAACAGGATAAAATGCTAACTATAATGAGGTACCCACACTGGTCCTAACCAAATGCAAATACAATGTATGCCACAGAAAATATCATTTCAACGAGTGTCTGAGCAAAGTGAAGCAGACCGAAACAACAACAGCCATTCAGTGGAAAGGATAAAACAAGATAACATAGGGTGAGAAAAGAAATATACCTTCCAATGGCACCATTCAAGCCCCCACTATATCAATACAATGAGGTACCCAATCTCGTCGCACTGGACAACTAACATACGGCCGAAACAAAGATTTTTTCTCTCAAAGCATTTGGGGGTTCCCCCCCCCCCCGACAAATTCAGATTTTTGGGGGGTAATACGAAGGTACAAAGGTAGAGCAATATGAATGTACGAAGAGCCGAAGCAGTTCGCAAACATTCCTTCGGACGTGAGCCACTCACCAGCAGCAAACTACAAATACCTAGTTGCCAACTTTTCAAAAGAGGAAGTTAGAGATGATACTGCAAGAAAGCAACGCACACAGAAAAGAAAGGAGAGAGATAAAGACGAGAGATGTTTGATACGAAAGGAGGAGCAAACCATAGCAGAGCACCCGTCAACCATCCGTTACTGAGCAAAAAGTATCATCAGTACTATGGAAAAGAATAGTTTTAAAAACCGTCACAAATACTCTTGATGAATAGTGTAGACTGACGAAAGAAAGATTAACCAAACAAAGGACTTTCCGGGCAAGGCCAGTAATAAACAGTGAAGGGGAAAAACAGACGAACGGGAGTGGATGCCGATGTAGAAGCATCGACTACGCACAACTCCGTGGCCTCGTATTCCTCCTGCACACGCCAAAACCTACTACTAGGCAAAGCATTCCAGATGAGCTCTAAATTTAGCTCGGACATACAAGCAAGAAAGATGGGAGAGAGTGCAAACGGGAAAAAAAAACGGACAGCAGCAGGATATTATTATCTCAGCAAGTCTCTCTCTCTCTCTCTCTCTCTCTCTCTCTCTCTCTCTCTCTCTCTCTTTTGGAGCCGCCGAAGGCTGGAGCAACTCCAAAAAGACCCCCCCCCCCCCCCCCAATCTCTTCCCGCTCCTCTTGGCCGGCTCTCGTGTACGTGCATGCGCACTAGCACACGCAAACACACACGCACGCGCGCGGTATATATTCACCTTTGATTTTAGGGGGTTCTCTCCTGAAAAACGTAAAGCAAACCACTTTGTAGATTCCCTTTTTATGTAAGGATTTTTACCTTGCATCGACACAATTTAGATAAGTTAGAAGGCGGGCTTCGACCCTGTCTGTCAAGAGGGCCAACCCAGGCTGAGAGAAGGATATGACGCCCCAGCAGACAGAGATACTCGATAATATTCTCCCCACAGGAGAATCAAACCCGGATTCTTCTGCATGTGATAGCAAAGCGCCTAACAGCTAAACCAGAGGCGCCAGATACCGTTTTCTCTCGTCTTAAACTTTAGGTTATAAATAAGCTCCCCAGCTCAAAAAAATTCTCTGAAGATTTGAAACAAACAACAAATGGAGACCTCCTACAACTTTTTTTCTTTTCTTTTTGCAAGATTCAGTACAAGTAAAACCTTTACCATTACCTTGCTCTCATATTATCTTTGACGAGCAAAAGCAAGCATGATGGTAAACCTAGAGCGCGCATTGTGAACGAGAATAATATTGGGCACACCTAGGCCTACACAATGCGTGCGTGCGGAAGGGAGGGGTGAGGATGGGCTAAAGGTCTGGCGTTGGTGGAGTTAAAGTGAACGACGCTGAGGAGCTGGGATGGGGATATGGGTGGGGTAGGGGACGTTCTTGTGTTTATACTTAGCGACTTACGGGCACGGTAAACAGGCAGGAAGAAGTTCGCAAAACCGCGTTAACGAGCACGTGTGCACAGGCAGGTCTGTGGGGATTACGAGCCATCAAAGTTTGCTCTTTTTCTTTTCTTTTAAAGAGCAAATAGTCAAATTTTAGGAAGGAGAGAGTTCAGTTTTAGACAAAGCAAACAGAAACCAATCGAGAAAATAGAGGGCATTTAGAACAAGGGAAACGGCACATCCAGCTGAAAGAAGCAACGGAGGGTAGAGGGAGGGGGGGGGTGTTGTTGATGGTTTTTATTTTAGTTTTGTACCTACAAGCAAAGTCTGTCTGAAGGGAAAAAGAGAAATAAAGAGACTGGGCGACGTATGCCTCCTAATGAGCATGTTGAATAAGTACACGCGAACTTCAATGAAAATAACATACATACAAAAGGTGGTTATGTCAACAGACAGAAACAGAAAATGGAGAGAAGTTTACAGGAAGGGAAAGAGTGTGTGTGTGAGTGTGTGTGTGTGTGTGTGTGTGTGTGTGTGTGTGTGTGTGTGC